CTGAAATAAAACAACTTTGTTGTCTTGTTGACCAAATAACAATTGTTCACTGACTTATTGAAATAAAGTCTTTTACAGGATAGAAAGAACCCAACATGTGGAAAAAAGAAATAAAAAGACCCTCTCCCTTCATAATCAACCATATGTCAAGAAGCCCACCAGCATGCAGACAAAGACCTTAATACCAGTAGCAGTAGAACTAAATCAAGGCAGCGAGCTTGACAAAGCCTAGAAACTTTTGACAGTAACCTCCTCCAGTAGCACCAATATGAAAATAGAAACAGAACCAATCCTCGAAGCCTGGACTTAAAGTGAACAAATAGAAAAAGCTGTAAGTGGAAAAAAAGATCCCTTAGCAGATGTTCCTTCTTCTGAAGAAGAAGTATCAAGCAACCTGAACCCTTCAGTGGACAAAAGCAACCATTCAAGAACTGAAAATACAGAACAACAAGGAGACGTCATCTTCGAGAGAGAGGAAGACCCCTGGACAATAGTGAGTCACAAGAACAATGTGGTCCAGCCCAGCATCAAACCATAATCAAGAACACCTATTGATCCAGAGTCTAGATATGGCAAGGAATGTTTCAAAGTTGGCATCAATACCAACATTACCCCTGGTTTCAACAGTGATGCAAAAATTCTCTATATTATGAAGGTCTTTAACTTGCCATCAGGGCTCATTGCAATTCACAATGAACAAGAAAAGGAGAGAACCCATATCGTCATTGTGTTTGGTGATCGATAAGTAGCAGATGATGCAATGAGAATAGAGTTATTAAATCTAGGTGACAATAAGCTTATATATATACAGATTAGCAAACAATCAATCAAAAAAGATAAATCTATAGTGGGCTGAGATATCTTCCTGAATACAAAGCTTATCGAGGTTAGACAACATTTTGCCAAATTTGGTAGCGTCTCAGGAATCAGTATGAATACACAAAATTTATGGCAATGTGCCATGATCATCTTTGAGGAAGAGATAGTTAAAGAGACACTTGTCAAAAAGCACAGAATTCTTATTAAAGAAGATGCAGTCAGAATCAACGATGTTAATTGGTTAATAGATCAAATGAGAAAAAGACATAGTATCATAGCAAAATTGGTTAACCTACTCCTTAACACTATAGCATGGGACCTGAAACAAGTTCTGAATGAGATGAAAGCACATACGTACTACATTCCACATACCACTGGGTAAAAATAGTTAAACAATGGTTAGAAAATAATTCAATAACAAATATTTCTTGATCTACACAATCACCAGATCTTAATCTAATTGAATATTTATGGGATATTTTAGAAAAAAGAGTTCATAAACATGATTCCCATTCAAAAAATCTTGCAGAATTAATAATTATTTTAGAAGAAGAATAGAATCAAATTGAATTAGAAAATTTAGAAAATTTA